AAACTCGCAACGACGCTTGAAAACTAAGTAAACAGTATAAAAAACTAAACATAAATATAAAAAGCTGTTACACTTATTTCAACTTTTTCCACTAACCAAGCAAATTCCTAGCTTAACGATCCTCTCTTTTTTGCAGCCCATGATACCAAGGGTAATCTTGTTGATGTCGGCGAATTGCTCATAGATTACATGAAAAATAAAACCAAAATTATTGACGAATTGGGCGACAGAGAATTCGAAAGAAAGCTACGAGTTTAACGATGTCACCAAGCGAAATACTAGCACTATAAGTCCATAAAATTAGGCATTACTTGTTCAATGTAATTTGCAAAGCTCTTTTTTACTGTTTTACCTAAAACTAATGATAATGTTGAGTATAATAAATAAGTTGTACTAATATACAAAACAAGTTTTCAAGTGGGCTTTACTTAAGGGATACAAAATAATATTCGTTAACTTTTTTTTTATACCCAGTAATCAAAACAACTTAAGACTTAAAAAAAATTTATTCAATACAATTTAAAACATTAAAACATTGTCAATATATGATCATAATTTGTCGATCAATTTTTTCACAAGAAATCAGCTTTCAGAAATCTTTAAATTGATCTGGTCACACAGTTCCATTACATACGTATATTTCAAAAACCGGAGAGGGCCGTAATTGTTTTCATTTGAAAAGATGATCGAAGATTACATCGGTGGGTGAGCTGTGTGCTCGGAATGATTAGAACATTGACCATATCAATGAGATTCATTGCAGTCACGTCTGTTCACATTGTGGAAACGGTGTTTTTGGCTGACTTCCTGCAGCGTTTATTTCTGAGCGTGGTCGAATACGTCCGGCATAAGCCGAACTATCTGCAGGAGGATCGGGTGCGGAGGATCCTCCGCCGCTCGTTCACCTACAGAAACAAATCAAAATGTCTGCTGTGCTGTGTCTACTTGGGAATGGTAATCTCGGTTACTGGGAATTTAAGGGCCGTGTTTCCTTCGTTGAAGATCCTGGTACATATTCCTCTGTACTGGCTCTTAAAAGATATCGATCAGAGCCCGCTGATCGATCTCTACTGGTTGAGGGGCTCGCATGGACTGGATTATGCAACCGGAATGGCCTCAAACTTATTCCATGGGCGCCTCAAAGCCTCACTGCCCGAACGCGAGGACGATGGGCTTAAACCTCGGATGGATGTCTATGAGGTTTGTTTATTTTAAGTTTTCATTTAAGGTAATAATACTTATGTACTTCCCAGGCCAAGGACAACGTATCATTTGGCTTGAATCAACTGGTGATCCTTAGTCTCGACGAATCCTCTGATCCTAAAATACTTAAAAAGCATTTTATATGTAAAGCTAGGGTACGTAAATGTCTTGAAGTTCATTGTACAGATGACACAGTTAAATGTTAAGCCCCTTGAAACGAGCAGTGGGGATCGTATCCTAAAGCACGATGTCTACAGGAAGAAGGTTAATGACAAGATATATTACTTTGTTATCGAGTTAGCCGAGCCCATGATGAACTTTTCCGAAGCCCTGGTGTCCGGATTGACGGGCACATGGCAGATGAAGGAATTGGAGAGAGAGATCAGGATGAGATTCAATAAGAAATTGGCAGAGCTCATTCATATGTGTCCGGAGACTCGCAACCTAGCCATCATCTATAAGTGTAGGTTTAAATAAGCAGGGCCGTATTTATAATTCAAACTATCATAATACTTTCAGCACACGATGACGAGGGTAATCCAGTTGATCTTACCGATTGGCTCATCTCTCACATGGAAAAAAAAAAAACCAAAAACTCTTGACGAGTTTTTAGATTAACTCTTAAGTCTAACGATGCCGACGTTAGGAATTCTAATTCCTTGAGTAATAATCAATTAAAATCTTGGCCATTTTAATTTGTAACGCCCTTTTAACTTATACCTACAACTAACGATAATGTTGAGTGTAATAAATAAGTACTATTAGACTATAAAACTGGTTTTCACATGACACTGTTAAAAGCTGAAAACAGATATGTCTAAGCCTCAAGGAGCTGGTTATCCGGCCGGGATGCTTCCAGTTCCTTCAGCTTGGCCTGGGCCGTGGCTAGCATTCGCGCCTTCCAAACTTCGTAGTCCTCTGCCTGAGGCTTCTGCAACTTTTTGGCCTCCTGGCCCTTAATGTTCTCCTGCTGGCTTTGCTTGAGCTTGCCCTCCAGATCGCAGGTGGCTGATACTTGAACCTCCTTGTGGTGCTTGGCTATCATGCGATCCCACTGGTGCTCGAGCTGCTGGAACTGCGTGGGCCGCAGGTTGCTGAAGGGCATGAGCTTCGACTTGGAGACCTTCTTCTTGAGCAGGCGGCAGGCCTGGAAGACCGCCATGGCGGCGTACTGCGGATGGGTGGTGTCGGTGCCGGTGTCCTCGGTGGCCGCCACGCCCCTGAAGAGGGTCATCAGCTCCTCCGCCTTGCGGGCCACCTCATTGAGGCTCAGCTGCACGCAGATGTCGTTCACGCTGGCCAGCTTGTTCAGATCCAGCAGCTTCTCGAACATCCGTTTGTTGTTGAGGTAGTGGCTCTTGCGCAGACCGGACAACTTGAGGGCTTGCTCCTTGTCGAACCCGATGCCCAGCAGGCTGGAAGCCAAGTCCGCGCACAGGACTATCTTTCCGTACTCGTTGATCTGCAGAGGGACATTTGAGGAGCGCAGTTCCAGCAGACGCACCAACTCGGTGGTTTTCCTGCAAAGGATTATGGTCAACTAATGGGGTTTCTTTACATATTTTTATAACAAACTTACTCAATCACGTTGGGCTCCTCCCGCAGGCCCATTTTGGTGATCAACTGTTCTATTAGCGTAGTCATTTCACTTATAAATCTTCAAATTTATTTAAGGTCGTGCAGAGCGTTAAATCACAAACTAAAATTTCTGGCGCGAACTGCATCAGCTGTGAGCGATACACAACTTGATTGTTATCGAACAGCCTTCGATAACTGTTCATCTAAACTAGTTCAAAATTCGATAAACTCATTTTAAACATTTCAGCAATTAATAAAGTCAACAATTCAACAAGTCTAAATTCAAGCAAAAACCATCGCAGTTTAAAATTAATATATCATAAAAACCTAAGCAAGTTCTGATCATATCATTTTGTAGCCCCGCAAAACTAAAACAAATAAAAATAAAAGCCATTTGTTCACCCAATTTGTTGTATACATTTTGCGCTTTAAGGGAAATATAAAATTAACGTTATGTATTTAGGCCCAGAATTAGATTCACTGCCAAAAACGCCACTAGTGCGTCTCATTGTCGCTGTCATCCTCCTTGTTGGCGGCATCTCCGGCATTCCGCGCTTTCTCCGTCAGCTCTGGGGGATTAATGCGATGCAGGCCATCGGTTATCCTGCCCACCAGACCCATTTCGAAGCGGAAGTCCTTGTCCTTGAGTTCGTCATGGACCTTGTAGATGCTAAAATGTAAGATAGACATGGCAATTAGTTTCTAAGAATTGCATATAATATATAGTATTAAAGGGCCCCAGAAATCTTTTGCAATCTGATTAGAGAAATAAAACCTATTCAAGAGATTTTTCTAAAGATTGGATCAGAGATTTCTGGAGTACTTCTTGCCAAGAAGACCTACATTTCGCCGGCGCTCTTCACCAGATCGTCGATCTTCATGTCCGGCTTGAGCTTCTCCATCTCGGTCTTGGCCTGCTGCTTGGCCTTGCCGCTGGCGCAGGCGAAGTAGCCGAAGGAGGAGCCAGAGGGCTCGATCTTGTAGAGCTGCGGACCCTCGACCTCGTCCCACGAGGCGAAGATGATGGACAGCCCGAAGGGGCGGACGGCGCTGTACAGAGTGTAGGCGTGGACGTAGCCGGCGACGCGGTCGCACAGGTGCTTTAGCGGGATGGCGTGCTCGAACTGCTGCCGGAAGTTGGCTGCCTCCTGGCGGGCGATGTCCGCCACATAGTTTCCATCGGCCACCAGTCCCGCCACCGCCATTCCGATGTTCTTCTCGATGGTGAAGATGCGCCCACCGGCGTCTGGCTCGTACAGCTTGCTGGTGATGATCTTCTCCACGGCCAGGACCACGGCGTCCTTGCCACGGATCCCGATCACGGTGCCGCTCTTCTCCACCGCCTTCGAGGCGTAGTCGATCTGGAAAACGCGACCATCCGGCGAGAATTGCGAGGCCGACAAGTCGTACTGCAACCGAAAAGACCTTGATAAGCACCTATCGATCGGAGATTTGGGTCACCAACTACTTACTCCTGTGCCAATAGTACTCATTGCGAAGATTCGGTCGAAATTTAAACTATTTAAAGGCAAAAATTAGTTTAATATGTTGAGTCAAATGAGCGACGATGATTTGACGGCTTTTGCTTGGCTAGTGGTGGACAAAACAAAGGCGCCTATCGATTACCACAGAGTCGATAGTTTGCTAACGAGCACCCAATTCTAACCGACTATCGTGCAAAACAATTGTGGCTATCACAAATTAAAAAAATCAAATTTTAAAACTTATTAATATATTTTTTTAAACATAGTTTTAACAAAAGATATATAAATATTATGTAAGGTAAGGGTAGAAGTTGATATAATTTGTTTTGCAACGTGAAGTTAGATTTTCATCAGGGACCGTAATCATTAGAAGTTTAATTTTAAAAATCACAACATAATGATTAGTTTTGAGTTTTATTAATTTTATCATTATATAAGCTTTTTTGTACATACGTTTTTAATGCTTTCCCTAGCCAGCTTAAGTTAATTTGGTTATTGATTTAATTTAGTGAATTCAAGAACCAAAAGTTAACTTCTTAAAAAAAAATCTGTAATTACAATTTTATTTATTAAGGGATGTTTATTTTGAATAAATAATAAATAAATAATAAATTAAAATTAAAATAATTTTAATGTTTTTAAACCTTTTCAAATAAAATACAAAATAATTTATATGCAGCAAAGGAATACCCCAAACGAGTTCTGTTCAGTTCCATTTCGAACTAGTTCAGTTTCTTTAGTTCCCCGATCCGCGGTGCACGCGGTTTTTGTATTTATAAACAACGAAAATCATGTTGGCGAATATCAGCGAGAAAAGGTAACTAAAACTGGTATAATAAATGGGTAATATTAATAACATCACATTTTTTTTAGCTATGCAGCGGAAGCGCGCTACACGAACTTCTACGCTGGCGGCGACATTGCATGGAGCTCGGATGGCCAGCACTTTTATTGCCTGAATGGAGCGGTCGTCAACCAGGTGGATGTGCAGACATCCCAGATCCTGCAGAGCTTCGGGGCGACTCCATCGTCGGCGGAGAACAAGAGGCCGACGGAGCTGGAGAACATCGATGTGGAGGAGGACACAATCACCTGCTTCGGGCTGTCGCAGGAGCACCTGGTCACTGCCCACCGCAGTGGCCTGCTGCGGCTGTGGCAGCTGGCCACCGGCAAGCTGGTGAAGCTGTGGAAGGCCCAGCACAAGGGACCCGTCATCCGGGTGGAGTTTAGTCCCTGCGGCCGGCTCATCTGCACCAGCGGCGGAGCGGACGCCACACTGAGGCTGTGGGACTACTCGAACAACAGCTGCCTGGGCGCCCTGAAGGATTTTCCGGGTCCCGCCTGGCTGCTCGTCTTCCATCCCAACGTGCTCCGCAAGGAGATCTACGCCGGGGGATCGGACAACACGGTGTATGCTTGGAACTACGAAACGAAGACACTACGGCACAAAATGCGCGGCCATCTTTCGCAGATTACGGGCCTGAGCTTCAAGAGCAACGCCTCAGACTGCGATGAGGTGGTGACCGTGAGCCGGGACAAGGTGCTGATCGTGTGGCAGCTGCAGGAGCAGTTGGAGAGCAAGCAGCTGAAGGTTCTGCCTCTGTACGATGAACTGGAGGGAGTCGCTTATGTGGACGAGGGAAGCCAGATAATAGTGGCCAGTGGGCCGGGCAAGCTGCAACAAGTGGATGTCAAGACCTGGAAGATCAGGGACCTTCTCTCCCAGTCCGACTTCCAGATCAGCAGACTGCTGCACTGCAGCGAGCTCAAGCAGCTGGCACTGGTCACCACGGAGCAGAACATCCTAGTCTACGACTCGGGAAGTCTGAAGGCAGTCAAGCAGTTAGTGGGCTACAACGACGAGATCCTGGACATGTGCTTTATGGGCGACAACGATCGCTACCTGGCCGTGGCCACCAACAGCAAGCACTTCAAGCTGTACGACACGGAGCACGACATGAACTGCCAGCTGATCGTTGGCCACTCCGATACAGTGATGTCCCTGGCCGCCTCCCAGAACCTGCTCATCTCGGTGGGCAAGGACTGCAGCGTGCGCCTGTGGCGACTGCAGCACGACAGGGACTGCTCGCTGGAGGCGCTCACTCAGCAGGCCAATTGCCACACGTCCACCATTGGATGCGTGGCCATGACGCACAACGGGGCCACCGGCTTCGCATCCGTCAGCCAGGACGGCAGCATGAAGGTGTGGCAGCTAGCCAGGGCCAAGGAGGACCGCAACTCGTACTCCTTCAATCTGCGCTACGCGGCGCTCTGCCACGACAAGGAGGTGAACTGTGTGGCCTATGCCCCCAACAACAAGCTGCTGGCCACCGCTTCGCAGGACAAGACGGCCAAGATCTGGCTGGCGGAGTCCAACGCGCTGCAGGGCGTGCTGAGGGGTCACACGCGCGGCGTGTGGAGTGTGCGCTTCTCGCCGGTGGACCAGGTCGTGCTCACCTCGTCCTCGGACTGCACGCTGCGTCTCTGGTCCATCGGCAGCTTTGCCTGCATCAAGCGGTTCGATCAGGAGTGTACAATACTGCGGGCCGAGTTCCTGGACCACGGCAAGTTCATCCTGTCCGCCGCCTCCGATGGCCTGCTGAAGCTTTGGAACATCAAGACCAACACATGCCTCCAATCGCTGGACGAGCACAGCGATCGCGTCTGGGCTCTGGCCGTCTCCGGGCGAAGCAATCGGTTCTTCTACACCGGAGGGGCCGACTCCAAGCTGATTCGCTTCGGCGACGTCACCCAGGCGACGCGCAACGAGGCGTTGGATCAGCGGCAGGCCACCTTGGAGCAGGAGCAGACCCTCCACTCCCTGCTGCACGCCCAGAAGCAGCTGCACAAGGCCTTCGTGCTGGCCCTGAACCTGGACAAGCCGAAGGCCAGCTTCGACATCATCAACCACTTTGTGCGCCAGCGAGATGAGCCCGGTCTCCGCCAGCTGGTGGACCAGTTGAACGTGGACCAGCGGGTGGCGCTGCTGCAGCATGTCAAGGCCTGGACCACCAACTCGCGGCACTCGCAGGTGGGCAACCTGATCCTCAAGCACTTGATCGGCGACGCTCTGCAGGATCCCAAGGCGCGGTTCTACAACAATGGCAACATGGTCGAGGTCCTCACGCCCTACGTCCAGAGGCACTTCAAGCGGATCACCGAGCTAAACAAGGAACTGGCCTTCCTGGAGTTCATTGTCAAGTGTATGTAGTGCACTCTAGCTGTGGATCTGTTTAATCTGTTTAATTAGTTGTAAGAAAATAAAATGTATAATTGAATTATTTTAGATCTCGCTTTGTTTATATAGTGATTTCATCCAGAGAAAGGCGATAGTTCTATTTTGTATAACGTTTATTAGACAATAGTTAATGTAACATTTATAACCACTTACGTATTTACTGGAGGCGGGGAATCTCGACAAAGGTTTTTTTGTGAATTCAGAATTCAAAAATCGTACAAATTTGATTCAAATGAGTTTGAGGAAAGGCTTTACGATAAATTTACAAATATACCTGGGCACGTACATATACATATACAATCCGCTTCCAATTCGATTACGTTTGGCGAATCCGAAAGATCAGCCTGGAAAAGCGGTTATTCGGATACATATATAAAAAGACACAGGCGATGGGACAATTTATGGTCAATCAAACTGACAGAATCCCTAAGATTATCACTGTTTTGACTTAATTTTACATAAGGTGTGTGCGGTGGCAGCTTGGACAATTGGACACTTCTCTAGGGGGTTTGGCTCCTGGCTCTACTCGATGATCATGATCAGGTCCTCGCCCTCCAGCTTCGTTCCGTTGGCGATCTCCAGCTTCTTGACGACGCCCGCCAGCGGCGACTGCACCACCATCTCCATCTTCATGGCCGAGAGCACGACCAGGGGCTGGCCCTTCTCCACCTTGTCGCCGACCTGCACGCGGATGTCGATGACGGTGCCGGGCATGGGTGCGCCCACCTCGCTCTTGTTCGACTTGTTGGCCTTGGGATGGACGTGGATTTCCTAGGATATTAAACAGGGGTTAGTTCCAGGGCCTCCAAAAAGGCTTCAAGCAAGGCAAACACCCACCTTGATGGCCTCCTTGTCCAGGATGTGGACCGCTCGCAGCTGGCCGTTCAACTCAAAGAAGACCTCGCGGATGCCGTTGGGCTTGAGATCGGCGGACACGGCCAGGGCCTTCACGCTCAAGGTCTTGCCGCGCTCCAGGGGCACGTCGAACTCCTCGCCCACTTTGGGTCCGGTGAGGAAGATGCGCGTGTCCAGCTTGTCAACGGGGCCGTAGGTGTCGCGGAAGTGGAGGAAGTCGTTCGTCACCTGCGGATAGAGGGCGGCCGACATGACGTCGCGGTCGGTGATGCACGAGTGAGATTCCTTCAGCTCCTTCTTGAGCTTGCCAAAGTCCAGGTCCTTCAGCTCGGCGCCCGGACGTCCCTCGATGCGGGGCATGTCCTTGAGGACGCGCGAGCGCAGGGGCTCCGGGAAGCCGCCGTGCGGGATGCCAATGGAGCCCTGCAGGTACTCCACCACCGACTTGGGGAACGACAGCTCCTCGGCCCGCTCCAGCACCTGGTCGGCGGTCAGGTTGTTCTGCACCATGAACTGGGCCAGATCGCCCACCACCTTCGACGAGGGCGTCACCTTGATGATGTCGCCCAGCAGCAGGTTGGCCTCCCGGTAGGCCTTCTTCACGTCCTCGAAGAAGTCGCCCAGGCCCAGCGAGAAGGCCTGGAACTGCAGGTTCGTGTACTGCCCGCCGGGGATCTCGTTCAGGTAGACATCGGCGTTGCCCGACCGCATCGTCGTCGTGCACTCGAAGGGCGCGTACAGGGTGCGGGTCTGCTCCCAGTAGGCCGAGTACTCCGACACCGTGCGCAGATCGAGGTTCGTGTCCAGCGGAGTGCCCTGCAGCGAGGCCACCATGGCGCCCATGCTCGGCTGCGAGGTCATACCGCTCATCGAGTCGACCGCCACGTCCACCACATCCGCTCCAGCATTGGCGCAGGCCAGCATGGAGGCCACTCCCGCTCCCGAGGTGTCGTGGGTGTGGATGTGGATCGGGATGTCGGGGTGCTTGTCCCGGATGGCGGTGATGAGAAGCCTGTCACAGTGTGGAAATCATATAGTATACAGAAGGAACAAAAATAAACTATAAAGTCGTGTGCCCCGACTATTATATACCCGTTTCTCAGCTATAAAATTTTAAAATTACGGTTTTAGGTGGCGCCATCTGCCGAGGAAGCAAAGAACACTATCCAAAACATTAACATTGAAGCCAATAAATTTTAAAATGATGGTTACATTTGGTAAACGTTTGTATGCGTCGATATATTATTGCCAAAATATCCAGCATAACATTACAGAGAGAGAGATTTTAGATGTTAACCCTAAGCTTTTTTCAAAATAGGATATTTAACAAGAAAACTGTACAAGTATTTCTTTTTAAAATCGGATATCAGTAAGAAGGGTAAGTAAAGCGCTGGTTTTAAATCATTTTATGACAAAGCTACTTCTTGAAAAATAAAAAAGGGGCAACATCATTAGAATTTCAAAAAAATCTACCCGAATTTACACTTAAACATTTGAACGCGGGTTTTTAAACCACAATTTTTTAGAAGTATGCCTTTTCAGGATATCTGCAAGAAAAGTTATGGATTTAGAAAAGCGTGTTCTAGGTAATTTTTCTACAAAGCCATTTTTTCGTTCATACGGACAGACAGACGGACATGGCTGTTGATCCTGATCAAGAATTTTAGTACTTTATAGGACCAGAAACGCATACTTCTAATATAATATATACAATATACCAGTTTTATATAACGAGTAATTGGTATAAGAAAGGAAATCATCTCGAAACTCACTTGGCGGCTTCGGGCTTGAGCAGACCCGCCATGTCCTTGATGCAGAGGACGTGGGTGCCCGCCTTGACCAGCTCGTCGGCCAGGTTGGTGTAGTACTTGAGGTCGTACTTGGTGCGCTTCGGATCGCTGACGTCGCCGGTGTAGGAGATGGCCGCCTCCACCACGCCGCCCGCCTTGCCGGCGGCCTCCATGCCGAGGATCAGGTTGGGCAGGTAGTTGAGCGAGTCGAACACGCGGAAGATGTCCATGCCGGTCTGCACCGCCAGCTCGCAGAACTTGTAGACTACGTTGTCCGGATAGCTGGTGTAGCCGACGGCGTTGGCTCCGCGCAGCAGCATCTGGAAGGGAATGTTCGGAATGCGCTTGCGCATCTCCTCCAGCCGCTCCCACGGGCACTCGTGGAGGAAGCGCAGCGCCACGTCGAAGGTGGCTCCGCCCCAGTTCTCCAGCGAGTACAGGTTGTTGAACTTGTGCGCCACGAAGGGGGAGATCTTCAGCAGGTCGTGCGATCGGATGCGGGTGGCCAGCAGCGACTGGTGGGCATCGCGGAAGGTGGTGTCCATCAGCAGCAGCTCCTTGCGGTTGCGCACCTCCTTGGCGAAGGCCTCAGGACCGCCGCAGACCAGGATTTCGCGCAGTCCCTTCGGCGGTTCCGTAACTGCAGCACAAAAATATGTTAATTCAGGGTTTTAATCAGGCGATATAGTTCCAAAATTGGGACACTTATGGGATTAAGTCTAGATTAACACTCTTTTTACAAACCCCCAAAAACATACAAAAACTCGTTAAGCTGAACATCGAAAGCTAGTAAAAACAAAAGCTGCATTAATAAACATTTAAAAATATCAAGTTAAGTGTGTTGAATGAAATTAGCTTTACACCAAAAAGTGATGATAAACAATATTACAGAATAACACCAAATTTTAGTTTCGGAATAGATAATATATACGGGTGTAACCCTAGAAATCGCTAGAGGTTTAAAATGGTTTAGACTCTTAAAAAAAAATGTTACCAAAAGTGCGATATATAGCTTTTAAGAGTTTTCAAACCTCTGGAGATTTCCGAGTCACCTCCTAAACACCCAGAGAAAAATCATGGTAGTGTCCGAGTATTTTCACTTTGAATTAAAAATTGTTGGTAAAAAAATTTTTTTTTTTTAATTTTAAACTATAATTTTACTATTGGATAAACCATTAAACCATTTAAACGTGTTAATAATTACATTATCATGTTTTAAGTTTATTTTAAGTAAGTTTATGTTTAAAATAATAATGTTTAATTCAAATCTATTGATGTTTCATTTTACTTTGGTTTTTTCTCTGTGTGTAGAGTTAGAAGCACGTTAGAATATCTTTCTGCCATATACCGGATATGATCAATGGGCGTATGTACAAATGTCCTGCGGGGAAATGGGGTTTCCTGGCCCTTCTCGATTTTGGGGATAGATAAGTTAACGTACCTTTGGCCTCGCCTCGTTCTTCGCGTGCTAGTGCTTCCGGGGACAGGTCTACGAATCGTTGATTATGATTTCGATCATGAGAACGTGTCGCGTATGAACGGGGCGGAGTGGGCGTGGTCGTGTTGTGCATTTTTGAATCGTTGTCGTTTGGTTGTCGATACATACATTGTAGGTGTGTGATTTTGGTTTGGTGTTTTGCAAGTGCCGATTCGTTTGCGATCGCGATTACGATTCGGTTTTTGGTTGATTAATAACAGATGCAACAAAAATTGATAGTTGAAAGAGTAAAAACATAAAGTTTCGATTAAAGCATATCAGAAAAGCAAAAAACGTTTTACAGGAGTTGCAAAAATAAAAAAAAGTAAGCATGCCTTGTGGAAATAAGTGTTTCAATTGATCTGTTAAATTTGTTAATAAATCAATTGAATAGATTGAGTGGCTGAAGGGACGTTTACACGAAGCACATATTGTATAAGGTTTAATGAGATAAATGGGTTCGACTATAATCTCACAGAGATCTGATATTAAGTTTGATCTGAGTGAAAAAAGGATAAACACTATTTATATTTGAGTTTATAAAAAACCAATGGCTCTTAAAGGTACAACCATTTGATATTGACTTTAAGTTATGAGCTCAGAAGTAATAACTGATTCACATTAGTCTTAAAAAGCACTCTTTAGATGAACATTAAATATATATCAAGCAACTTCCCTAACTCAGTTCAAAAAGTACTTTAAAGTTTAAAGAAATGACAAAGTAAATTTAAATGCAAGCATTTTTAAAGGTCAGTTAACAAAAAAAATATTTTTTAAACAAACTCAAAAAAAAATATTTAAAAAATGATTATTAAAGTCAGAAACTCTTACAGGTGCCTGATTCAAATGGATTTAAATCGATACAACAAAAAAAATGTCTATCAAGTCTTATACAAATGATTGGGTCTAATAGCCTCAAATTCCCT